GAGCCCAGCCACCTTCAGTTCTGTGCCCTGATAAAAGCGCATCATGGCTCCGTTTAAATGCTTTTCGGCTAGTGTGTTTCTGTGGTATAGCGGACTGAAGAATAGTAAACGTGTTTTGCAATATATGTATGAAGCTATTTTGTATTATAGTATGTTCCCATTCCGTTTTTGCTTTGGTGTAGCCCTGAGGTTGATTGCTTATTTATTTCTACCCTTCCTCTCTCCATACTTCTGTCCCCCCCCCCTCTCTCTCATTCCTTCTGTCGTCCACATGTATCAAAGGAGGCGAAATCGCCTGTTTGTGGTGCGACGTTAAATAAACTTCTACAACAACAACAACACCACCGTTGCCCTTGCCACCACCAGAACCGCCACCGGCTCTTCTTGTGGCGGGGGCTGGGGTGGACCCACTTACACCCGCGCTGGCATAGAGAGTTTATGCCACAAACGGCCAAGGACCGCGTTGCGGACAGTACCAACAGGAGGAGGGTCGATCAGTATCATGAGTCAGTGAGTGAAGCGGATCTGGAGGAACAACTCCGGTCACGGGACGAGCAGCTAGCAAATGGGAGACAAGTGGTCTGTACAGAAACGGAGGATGAGACGGATGATCAGAGGATGGAAGAGGAATTGGATGACGAACCGGTTGGTGAAAAGACAGAATACGAGGCAGATGATGTTTTTTTGTTTGTTTTTATTCTTTATTTAGAGTGGGAAGTCCAAAACAGGCCCTAGCCTAATAACAATGGTCCCACTAGTGAGGGAATGCTGTATATCTGTGCATAAGGATCAGTGAGTGTAACAGCAACTAGCAGGGAAAGAAAAAGAGAGAAGAAAAACAACTCAAAACAGGAGTGGCAGTGATGATGATCGTGAGGATGACGAGCGGAACGAGGAAGAGGACGATGAGATGGACGATTTGGAGTCGGATGGGAAAGAGCGAGATGAGGCGGATGAATGTGTTGATCGTAATTCGGCTGTGTATCTACACTTGTTATCTCTTCCTGACTGTCTTGGCGTGTATGGTGACTCTCATTTGTCTGTACTGTGTCGTGCGCGTTACGTCCAACAGTTGAAAGTCCTTGAGGCAGTTTGTATACGTATTCATAAGCCTGTTTTGTGTAAGCAGAAAGAGCACGTTGTTGCACTGAGGTTGTATTCGTAGGTTGACACTTCCTTCAGTGCCTTCTCATCTTTGGTTACGCACTCTTGTTACCTTTTTTGCGTTTCCTCTAGTAGTTTTATTGCGCTTGTATCATGATGTTATTTCTAACACCTTTCTATTACAGTACTTAACTTCAGTTTCTTTGGTTGTATCCTTTAGTTCCGTATTTTTCCCCACTGATGATAGGAACGAGAAAATCGATTCTGGGTTTCAATAATATTATTTTTTTGTTATAAAATACACAGTCATACATGGCGAACAAGTAACATAGTTGCGTGATGTCTGCGGCCTTCATCCTATTCATAGCTATAATAATAATTAACGCAATAAATAGAGTAAGCTGCGCACTCAGTACAAACACCATTAGCAAACCTTGTTTCCATGTATAAAAGCTTGTTCCTTAAACGTTTTCGTGGCCATCTCATCAGAAGGATTACTGGCAATTCAAAACTAATTCAAAACTCAAAATATATCTGCACAATGCAAGCAATAATTTAGACCCTATCTTGCGCGAGAAATGAGAGCTGAAAGAAAATTACACCAATCAACGATATCAGGTGACAACAGATGAGATAAGTTCACCACTAGAAAGTAACCATGCAACGAAAACGAGAACTACTGTTTCTGCTGATCTAAATTCACAAACAATTTCAATTTAAACAAATTCTTTTTCTGCCTACACAAGATCGGTTTGGTGGTAAAAATGTAGATAGACTCCAATACACGCAGATACCTTTGACTACGTGAACGAGACCAAACGGAAAAACAATCATCAGTATACCTGGAACGACAATCACTATTCTGAACAAGATGGTTAGCAACAGAAGATTCATACACCCTAACAACACTACTTCAACCAGTACATACTTTGGAGTTACGTGACAATGAAACCGACCTGTCAGTCCTTGCCGCTCCTGCCGCTCCAGAAGAGGCTGCCTGCTGCGATGATGTTCTCTTTGACGTTCCAATGGCTGTTGATGTTGATGAGGATGAGGAGGAGGATGAGGAGGAGGATGCTGACGACGACGATGACGACAACGACGGAGACGATAGTGACTCTGCCACGTTCGTCCTGCAGACACAACATCTGGCGGTTTCTTAGGTGGTCGGCCACGCTTTCTGCCACCGGAGGTGGACACAACCGATGACGGTAACGAGGAAGTCAATGAAGACGAAACCGAGGATACCAACAAGGATGACGTGATAGAAGGAAGAGGCGGTAAAGACGAAGGCAATGACGAAAATCCCGATGACGACGAAAGAAGACAACAGCAACCCAGTTGGTTCCGTCCCCACCGAGGGTGCAATTCCAATCTCAGTACCATTCTTTGGGTGATGTCCACGTCTAGGCCTCGCTGACCTTGCCTAAACAGGCATAGCATGAAGAGGCACGTGCTGGTGGATCCGTGCCTCCAGGTGCTGAAGAGTCCTACCCACATACCAGCTCTCCCTTTGCCGGCACTCGAAGTTGCAAATAGGATGTGATAATTTAAGAGTGGGTAGGACATACTTCTTCACCATGAAGGCACGAGCTGTTGTGTAGACGAACCGGACACTAACATTACGAAAGTTCGATTCTACAGTTGACTTAACTCGACGTTGCATGGTACGGCAAACAGCTTCACCCTTCCAAGGCAAACGAAGATACACCGGAGTGGCGTCGGAATTCCTTCGCTCCAACTCGTGTACTAACTACGACATATTTAGATATCACATATTCCGGGTACCCATTCAAACGAAACAAAGTGCATAGCCGCTCCAGTTCCTCATCCAACTTTGAAGGCGAACATAATGGACGAGCACGATCCAATAGATTACGAACGAGATAGATTTTGTACGACTTCGCAGTAAACGAATCCCAAACAATGCACAAGCCGGTGAATGTTGGTATACGGTACATCGATGTCATTACACCACCCAGGTGTCGATCAAGGTAGCTCTCTTGCTACTGTGCTGCTGTGTAATTGACTACAGACAGCTAATGTCTCTGCTTCATTCAGGGAATTCAGAATAGGAAGACTGCTGTACCACCCGCTCTTAAATTTGTTCCTTGGCTCACGAGCTGAGTTCTTAAAGCTGTTATTCATTTTCTGCTGCCCCGGTTACTTCTTTAATTATTATTATTCCCGTAGCTATGCAGAAGACGTTACTTCAGTAACGTCTGGCGCTAGCCAGGGTCCACACAGCTTTAATTTGGTATTAAATTTTGTGTGTTTGTGTGTTTGTTTGTGTCACGCCTGGCGCTATCCCGTATCTGACGGCAAAAAATCATAAGTAAATTAAAGTAAATTATCGTATCCGTTCCCGAAGGGAACTCACGACGGCCGCTAACACCCGATAAACCCAAAAAATCATAGGGATGTTATTAATTTTTCAATTCTCCTATTTTTTTTTCAGGCATATCCTGGGATTCGAACCCGCACTATCGCCCTACATGCATTCCCCCATACACTTCGCATTCATACCCATTCTTCCAAGTTGCTTCACGTTTAACACCAGTAAATGCGTCCACCTACCCTTTCAAAAATATGCATTAGCCCCCAGCCCGTCACCCCCCTTGACAATGAACGGTGTGCCTATTCAGAAAGGTGATAGCCACTGTCATCTCGGCGTGACTATCACTCCTTCACTAAATTTTTCTGACCATATAAAATCTATCACCCATAAGTTTCGCAGTCGTGTTTTTCTGTTGCGCCATATGGCCCATTTCCTTTCTGCTTCAACCGTGAATTTGCTCTACAAGTGTTACGTACGACCACTGTTAGAATACGCAGTCCCTGTCTGGTCATTCGCAGTATCCCATTCAGATTCGCTTACGTTAGACCGACTGCAAGCCGTTGCTGCTCGTTCATATCTGCTTTGTAAGACCCGGCACCCTCCTGAGTGGGAAACCCCGAAGCAGATTCTTAATCGTACTTGTGACTGGTCATCCCTGAAGTGGCGTCGTCAGATTCTGTCCTTACTGTATTTTCATCATGTCTTTTACCAGTTTCCGTCTTTGCTAATTCGTTTCAAATTCAATGTATCCCTTAGTTGTCGGCACCCGTCCTCTATAGTTTTACCTCGTTCTGGCGCCCATTTCCTTAAATCCCCTCTGTTGGGAAGACCGTCGTGGCCAAGTGTTTTTTTATGATGTATTTACTATTTATTCAATATTTCCCTCAGGATGTGAAATATGAAATGTCTCAGAAATTCAGTTTATTTTGGAACGCAATTTCGCGTACATGTAGTGATTTAGCCTACAGTTAGTTCACGAGTTATTTCGTAGGTTGTTTGTTTCTTGCGTTGCACAGTGCAAGACAAGAATTTGCACAACTGCACAAGAGTATTGACGTTGACTCTCAAAATGATTCTTGGTCGCATTTTGTTTGTTTCTTCTAAGTTTTGACAAAGGGACATGTATTTTCGTTTTGTCTTTTCTCGTAGTGTTTCCTTTCATTTCTAAGCCGCGACGCGGTCGCGTACTGCGGTACGACGGGTCACGTGCTGCCAACCTACTGCATTCTTTATTCACCAGTTTTCACGGCTACACTGCATGCATTGTATAATGACTCATGATTATTTTTTGCTCTGCGCTGAATCCCGTACTAGTGTAGTGTAGGGCTTTTTCAGAGTTTGTTTTTCGATGAGGCTCGGCAAGTTCGGTTCTTCGAAAGGAAGAGAAAGAGTTGTCTTTTTGTTGTTTGCGAAATATCTATTTTACTACCACGAAGTGTTCCCGTTGCGTGTGAGAACCTGCATGACAAATTGGTAGCAGAGGATGGTTGTCAAGTAGTGGTTCCTTCACCAAGCGCAGTGTGGTAGTGAGTAGCATTTCGGGTTTTCGCTGGACAACATGGATCTTGAGGAGTGCAAGAAAGCGAAGGCCAAGGCCAAGTTCCATGTCACACGAAATCGAAACTTGTTGCTCAGCAGGATCTACGAAGAGGATGCGACCTCGAAAGAGATCAAGAGGTTGTTGGATGACGTGACTGAGAGTGTTCACAACGCTGTGCATGTGTGTCTAAAACTGGTAACTCGGTACGCAGAATTAGGACTACCCACAGAAAAAGTGCACGAGGAGATAGAGGTCATCAACGTCGACTACAGCGATGCTGTCAGCAAGACCAGCGACGTGCTGGCAGAAATCAGCAAGAGGCCAAGTCGAGCCAGAACAGGTGAAAGTTCGCCAGCTTCCATCACCAGAGCCAAGAACATAAGATTAGTAAAGGCAATGTTGACGCAGAGCTTGGAGAATCCCAGAGCAAGTGGGAGGATGTTGACACCGCCACACTCTCCTAGTAAGGCCCTTGAGGAAAAACAGAACATGTGTGCTGAGAAGAGTCTCAGTCGTTTTGGGAATGTGTCTGCATCCAGTGTCAGCCAGAGTGCGACTGTTGAGGGGACTACCCAGCCGCCTGCCGTTTCCTCGGGAGCACCTCTGAGAGCAAATGCATCGGCACTCCCCCTGGGAACTCCAAGTGGTGACCATCGTGATAGACAGGACGAACCGCCTGGGGCTGACACAGAAAGCGTCAGTGACAGCCAGCTAATTGTGTCGTCGTCAAGTGCAACCATGGCAACCAATGTGAGTACAGACAAGTCACGCACGATTAAGGTGTCCTTTCCGGTCTCTTTGTCGTCTGTACCTACATTACCGTTTACGGCGGAGCTCTTGTCAAAAGTTCACCCGGTTGCCATGGCAACCGCCGAAACCATGGCAACACCGCTGAACATTGGTCATCAGTCTGCAGGGAGTAACCAGGCAAGTGGCATTGCTCAGTCTGGCGTGCAGCAGGCACCGGTATCTACGTCGGCAGCTTCGGCAAGAAACGTAATCACTGCCCCTAACCATAGTTCAAGTGGGGTCAGTGTACCACCCAGAGCATTGTCGGCCACGACCATACTCGTGCAGTCAGCCCAGACGCAACCAACTCCTGCAGTGCAGCCTCCTCATGGGACGCAACCAACTCCAGCTGTGCAGCCTCGTGCAGTTGCAAGTCATACTCTCTCGGCTTCTACACCTGCATTTGTGCCGGGATCAGGAAATTTGTATGTTCCGCCGCCGACCCATTCTGGACATCCATTCTCATTTGGAACACCACCGGGTTTCTTGTCGGCACCCGACTTCCCGACGCACATCTTGCCGAATCAGTCTGGAATAATGTCTACCCCACCAGCGACCCAACCGGTCATGCAACAAATACCAGTTGGTCAGCCAGGTCACGCGTCACACCGTGAAGATTATGGTCTTGTGCAGCCGAGCAGTCTTCCAGTTGCCATGACTTCGCCGAGTGGTCTACCAGTGCAAGCGTGTAGTTCTGATAGAATCGAGTTGTACCGACATTTAGAGAAAGTGTCAATTCCAACGTTCAAGGGCGACAAGCGGCAATATGAGACGTGGAAGGCGGCGTTTGAGATGTGCATTGGCTGCGCTAACATTCCGGATGGGCTGAAGTTATTGCAGCTCCGAAAATACCTCGCGGGCGATGCACTACGGTCTATCGACACTCTTGGCTACTCGGCCGAGGCGTATGAGGCAGCACGACGTAGGCTGGAACGCAAGTTCGGTGGTCAGCGACGTCTAGTTGCAGTGCATCTAGAAGCCCTTGAGAAGTTCCCAGCGATGAGATCTGCAAACGCCCAGGAGTTGGAGCGTTTTGCGGAGCTACTCGATGTCGCTGTGGTGAATTTGAAGGCGAGTGGTCAGACACAGGAGTTGGCTAACGGGACATTTTATGTCCGGCTAACACAGAAGCTGGGGGTGTCTCTTCTGCTGAGCTACCAGAAGTGGATACACCAGACAAGCACCTCTGAATCTGTCGAAGCGCTTCTGCAATGGGTGGAGCTGGAAAGCGAGTTCCAAGTACGAGCCCAGGAGACGATCCAAGGTATCTCCACGGCAACTCCAGTAGGGTCCACTCAAACAGCAAAGAGTCACCCGCTGAAGGGCCAGGCCAGTCATGGTGGAGTGAAGCATCAGGCATTCTTCGCTGACAAGCCCAAGAAGGCCCAGAGCAGCAGCAGTTGCCCGATCTGCACGAAGATCCATCCCGTTTGGAAATGCCTAGAGTATCGGAAGCTGTCAATTGCAGAGCGTTGGCAGAAGGCCCGGACGCTCAAGCTTTGCTACCGTTGCCTTAACTCTGGTCATTTGGGAAATAACTGTCCCAGGTCGCAGCCCTGTGGTGCAGACGGTTGTACAGAGACCCACAACGCGTTGCTGCACGGAAAGTCTAGTACTACTACAGACTCGAATGGAGCCTCACAGAAGCCAGTGCTCCAGTCTAGCGCCTCCATGGAGGGGGGTGACACCAGTTCCATGGCCACACATATGAGTAGTGTCGGCGTTAGAGCTGTCGCACTGCGAACCGTTCCCGTCATACTTCGCCACGGCGACAAGAATGTCAAGGTCAACGCGCTGCTGGACGACGGCAGCACGCAATCTTACCTTAATTGCGACGTTGCGGCACAGCTAGAGCTTAGCGCTCCCACACAAGAAGTGTCAGTGAGCACGCTGAACGGCCGCATCGAGACCCTAGAGACTATGCCAGTCGACTGCCACATCGAGAGTCTGGATGGCAGATTTATCACACAGTTCTCTGCTCTGACTGCCAAGAATGTCACCGGTGACCTTACACCTCATGATTGGTCGGTAGATCAGACACAGTATCCGCACCTCAACGGCATCGAGTTTCCGCAATGCCAGAAGAAGCGAGTAGAGGCGCTGATCGGCCTTGACCACGCTAGTCTCCACAGGTGCATGGAGGAAGTCTATGGTGAGGCTCATGAGCCATTCGCACGCAGAACGCCACTCGGGTGGACATGCGTTGGCAGGAGCACCAGACCGCAACAGACGACAAATTTCACCCGCACGTACTTCGGAAAGGACGTCGACCTGAATGCACTAGTGAGAAGGATGTGGGAGGTGGAGGAACTTTCCCAGTCGTACGAATTCTGTGCAGATGATCAAGCCGTTTTTGATCAGACGGTCCAGTCGATGACCTACAAGAACGGAAGATACCAGGTTTCGGAGCCGTGGATCAAGAGACCACCTCCGGACAACTACAGTCGAGAAACTGCAATGAAGCGGCTCATCGCAGCAGAGAGACGCCTGGCGAAGGAGCCAGACGTCGCTGAGGAATACCGAACCGTGATTCGCCGTCACTTAGAACAAGGGTATATCAGCAAGATCAGCAACGCAAGTGATGGCGACGGCTGGTATCTGCCGCACTTTGCTGTTGTACGGCCTGGGGCTACATCCACAAAGGTGCGTGTGGTCTTTGATGCAGCAGCAAAGACGAAAGGCAAGTGTCTGAATGACTACATCAGCACTGGGCCCAAACTACAACGGGACCTCACCGACGTTCTCCTGCGGTTTCGGCGACACCCAAACGCACTGGTAGCCGACGTGGCAGAGATGTATCTACAAATCGAGTTGGAAGAGGATGACCGACAGTTCCATCGATTTCTTTGGCGAGAAGATACGGAGGCCCAACCGGCCGTTTACCAGTACAATAGAGTGGTGTTCGGGATCAATGCATCTCCATTCTTAGCTCAACTGGTTTCGCAAGAGCATGCGCGGCGGAACCAGGAGGAGTTTCCTATGGCAGCAGAAACTGTGTTGAAGTCCACGTACATGGACGATTCAATGGACTCGACAAAGTCAACAGAGCTAGCGATTCAGCTGTACCACGAGCTTACGGCGCTGTGGGGTCTCGCTGGAATGCATGTGCGAAAATGGATTTCCAACAATGTTGAGGTGCTCGCCGAAGTCCCCGAGGAGGACCGAGCCAAGGAAGTGGACCTCGCTAATGGAATCCTGCCGACGACCAAGACTCTCGGAGTTAAGTGGCGAGCAGAGGAAGACGAGTTCCTGATTCATGTCAAGCCGCCATCAGACATTGTCACCAAGAGAGCTTTCTTGAAGAACCTAGCCACATTGTTTGATCCGATCGGATTCGTACTGCCATTCACCATAGTTGGTCAGATGTTGTTCCAGAAGATGTGGCTAGCAGGTGCTGACTGGGACGACTCGCTGCCGCCAGAGCTAGGCGCAGAGGCGCAAAAGTGGTGTGCCGACATGGATGCACTCCAGGATGTCCGAGTTCACCGGTGTCTTCAACGCGATGAAGAGGTGGTGGAGACTAAGCTACATGTATTCTGCGATGCCTCGCAAGATGCATATGGAGCAGTCGCTTATCTCTGTCATGTGTACCAGGATGGTACGAGGTCCAGTCGATTCGTCATGGCTCGAGCCAAAGTGGCACCGTTATCAGCTGTTAGCATCCCCCGACTCGAGCTAATGGGAGCAGTCATCGGATGTCGTCTTGGTGTGTCCGTAGCCAAGACACTCGCCATCGCAATGGAGAATGTCGTGTTCTGGAGTGACAGCATGGATGTCCTGTGGTGGATAAGGAACAGCAGCCGGGTCTTCAAGCCATTCGTGGCCAACCGCGTCGGTGAGATCCAGGCTTCTTCCTCGCCTAGTCAGTGGTTCTACGTTCCGACGGCGGTGAATCCAGCTGACATCCTGTCACGAGGAACATCAAGCGCTACTATCGCGATGAATGTGCTGTGGTGGAACGGTCCGTCATATCTCGTTCAGAGCATCGAAGAACGGCCACAGCAGCCCGAGGGATTCAACGTTCCAGCTGCACCAGAGGTCCGCACGAAAGCCAAACCACCCGAAGAAGGTCAGCAACACCACCAAGTGACATGTGTGTCTTTCCTCTCGATGAGCGAGTGGGTTCTGGCGCCTGAACGATTCTCTTCGCTTCAGCGGCTGGTCCGCTTGACGGCGTGGGTGCTGCGCTTTTCTTCAAACTGCCGAATCCCAGCCACGCAGAGACAGTATGGTCAGCTGACGGTTGAGGAAGTCGAAGACAGCCTCCAGGCCATTATTCGGTCAAGCCAGAAGGACGCCTTTGCTGAATATTCGTCACTGCAGAAGGGCAAACCATTACCGGCAGCCAGTCCACTGAGCAGCCTGACCCCGTTCTTGGATGAAGTTGGTGTGATGAGAATGACAGGACGGCTCCAAGAGGCACAGTATCTCAGTCAAGACGCCAAGCACCCGATCATCTTGCCGCGGTCTTGCTGGATAACACAGCTAGTGATCAGAGACCAGCATGAGGCAGACCATCACGTCGCAGGTACAGCTCACACTATGGCAGTCCTCATGAGGAAATATTGGATCGTGGCGATTCGAGAAGCCATCCGGGAGTACGAACGTTCCTGTGTGAAATGTCAATTTCGTAAAGCACAACCAGCCACGCAGATCATGGCACCATTGCCCAAGATCCGGTTGAAGGAGCCTCTCCACGCTTTCAGTCGCGTGGCCGTCGACTTTGCTGGACCATTCGCAACAGTACAGGGTCGAGGGCAACGACGAGCTAAGCGGTACTTGTGCGTCTTCACCTGCTGTCTTTGTCGTGCTGTGCATCTGGAAATGGCCACAGGTTTGGATACCGACAGCTTTCTGAACGCCTTTCAACGAATGTGCAACCGCCGTGGTGTTCCTGCTGAAGTGCTCTCGGACAATGGTACGAACTTCGTCGGGGCTAATCGTGAGCTATCGGAGATTTTCACCGAGCAGGAGCAACACGTCCTGGAGCACAGCGCTACCATGAAGAGGATCAAGTGGCATTTCATTCCTGCCCAGACACCACACTTTGGAGGCGTTCACGAAAGTATGGTAAAAGCAGCAAAGAAGGCTATTTACCATGTTCTACAGCAGGCATCAATCACCGATGAGGAGCTGCGAACAGCATTCTGCAGCGCAGAGGCGCTACTCAACTCTCGTCCAATTGTTCCTCCCTCTAGTGACAGCCGCGACGACTTGCCACTCACACCGAATCACTTCCTGGTTGGACGCATTGAGCACTATCATCTTGCCGTCGAGTCACCGTGTCTTCGGCGCCGCTGGCAACACGTCCAAATGCTTGTATCCCATGTCTGGCGAAGGTGGATGCAGGAGTGGATACCAGCCCTGAATCGTCGCTCCAAGTGGTGGAAAGAGTACCCGGATCTCAGTGTCGGTGACATCGTCCTCGTTGTGTCAGCTGATACCCCCCGTGGCAGGTGGCCTCTTGGACGGGTGTTGGAGGTCTACCCTGGTTCTGACGGCAGAGTGCGTGTCGCTAAGCTCCAGGTCGGAGGCAAGCAGGTAACCAGGTCAGTTGTGCGGCTATGTCCGGTTGTGAAAGGCTGACAGTCCGTACGCACGTTTTAGATGGACTTATCGCCATCTTTAGTCAGTTCGATCTCTTTTCTCATTTTACTCATTCTTTGATACGGATGTATCAAGGAGGGGGGTATGTTGGGAAGGCCGTCGTGGCCAAGTGTTTTTTTATGATGTATTTACTATTTATTCAATATTTCCCTCAGGATGTGAAATATGAAATGTCTCAGAAATTCAGTTTATTTTGGAACGCAATTTCGCGTACATGTAGTGATTTAGCCTACAGTTAGTTCACGAGTTATTTCGTAGGTTGTTTGTTTCTTGCGCTGCACAGTGCAAGACAAGAATTTGCACAACTGCACAAGAGTATTGACGTTGACTCTCAAAATGATTCTTGGTCGCATTTTGTTTGTTTCTTCTAAGTTTTGACAAAGGGACATGTATTTTCGTTTTGTCTTTTCTCGTAGTGTTTCCTTTCATTTCTAAGCCGCGACGCGGTCGCGTACTGCGGTACGACGGGTCACGTGCTGCCAACCTACTGCATTCTTTATTCACCAGTTTTCACGGCTACACTGCATGCATTGTATAATGACTCATGATTATTTTTTGCTCTGCGCTGAATCCCGTACTAGTGTAGTGTAGGGCTTTTCAGAGTTTGTTTTTCGATGAGGCTCGGCAAGTTCGGTTCTTCGAAAGGAAGAGAAAGAGTTGTCTTTTTGTTGTTTGCGAAATATCTATTTTACTACCACGAAGTGTTCCCGTTGCGTGTGAGAACCTGCATGACACCCTCTCTTCAGTTTATCTGTGGAATGGAACAAACTTCCAGAACACATCCGCTGCGTTCAGTCCTCTGTCAATTTTCGCATTGCTCTAAAGGCTCATTACTCTCAGCATAGATATTCTCTGACTGGAATTCCGAACTTTTCCGTTTGAGAATTTTTTTTCCTTGAAATTAATCCTTGCTGGGTTTTTTTCATCTAAATGTCCCGCTATTATCTGCAGAGGTGATTTCTTCCCTCGTCGATTTCTTTCCTGCTTTTATACCTCGATATTTAGGTACTTGTTTCCCTTCTTCCCATGCTTCATCTTCCACTCTCCTCTCCCCCATTTCCCCATTTTTCTTGCGATATTTATGTGGGAGACTTCCGTGATAAGCATCCATTTGCTTTTGGAGAATCCTTTTAAATAAATACAATACAACACAATACAATACGTTATGATCTTGCGTTTGAAAGCCCTATTTGAATATTGCGGGCAGCTGTATGTGGCCAGCAGACACAACTGCTCACACTTGCTGTAAATGATTGGAAACTGGCCCAGGACCGCGGAGAGACTACCAGTGTAGCCTTTGTCGACCTCAGCAAGGCGTTTGATCGCGTCCAGCATCAACAGTTACTCATTGCGCTCCATGGCATGGGTGTTCATGCAAGCGCCCTGCGTTGGTTTGCATCGTACCTCGCCGGGAGATCTCAGCGTGTCGTCACGCAAGCCAGCCAGTCTTCAAGTCTTGCAATGTCTCGAGGAGTTCCTCAGGGAAGTATTTTAGGCCCTACCCTCTTTAATGTCTACCTGAGGGACCTTCCCCGGCTTGCTGAGACAGCGGGTTCAAAAATTACTGATGTTCGCAGATGACAAGACAGTCTACTCTAGTGATCCGTCGAAGGCGCGTTCCGAAGCCAAGTTGTCATCGGCACTGGAGATACTAAACAACCACCTTGACTCCATTGGTATGCAGATAAATACCGACAAAACCGTTGTCATGCAAATCCATCCCAAACGTGCCACAGGGAGTCAGCAACAACAACAAAGGCAACAACTGCAAATCACCTTGTCAAATGTTACGCTAGGGGAAGTGGAAAGCACCAGATGCTTAGGAGTCGTTGTTGACAATAAGCTGTCCTTTGAGGCTTTGACCAACACATTAACAAAGTCGTCCGGAAAGCCTCACGGAAGATCGGTGTACTGCGTCGATCTTTCCGCCAGATGAACCTGTTTGCCCGCCGTACTTTCGTTGTCGGTGTTATTCAGCCTGATCTAGAATATGCTCTCCCTGTATACCTTTCGTTTATATCCGCTAAAAATAGAAACAAGCTAGCCTCACTCCACCGGCGTGCTGTACGAGTTGCTTGTGGCGCATCACCCCAAGCTAATATCACGCCACTTCTTCACCACCTCAATGTTTCTTCTTTCCAATATCGATCAGTATTTTTGTTCCTTGTATTCATTTTCCACTGTTACTGTATTAAGCCGGCTGTTTGCTTGCAGTCCCTCTTTCCCATCTGTACGTTTACCCGAACTACTCGCGGCTCTACAACTCATAACATGAGTATCAATCGCTATAGATCTATGTCTGGCTTTCTGTCCTTTTCAAGTAAATCGGCTCTTGTTTGGAATTATTTACCAGACGACCTGAAGTCCTGCACTGTTACGTTTAGTTCACTGTTCCGCTCATGTCACTGGCACCTTTCATGCATTGCTTGCATGCGTGTTTTACATGCCCGCGCCTGTGTGGCTGCACGTGTCGCGTGACCGATGCAAATCACTCCAGATTCCCGCGCTGCGCACGTGGAGGCTTGTGGTACTGTGTGTTTCGGTTTTATTGGTCTGGCTTTGTCGACCAGTAGGGTCTTTTTGCTTTGCAGTTCGCTTGGTGTGTGTTTCTCTTGGAAGTGTATTCCATTCTTGTGTTCTTGCTTGGTACGTTGTAGTGGTGAGAGTTGAAGTTGGTTTTCTGTCAACACTGAACGTGTCCATCTGTGCGTGGTGAAGATTCTTGCGTAGTTTGTTTGTGAGAGTGTGTTCTGAGCATTCTACAACGAACCCTAATTGAAAGTCACATTTCTGGCACCTCCGACGGGATACGCAGTTTCCTCGGCCATGGATGGATTAGAGCAGGACCGCTCTACCCAAGATGGGACTAGTGAAGACAACCTGGACGCCTCGGATGGCTCAGCCTTTGGCGACGAGGCAATCATTACGCAGCGCAAGCAGCTGAGGCGAAGGCTGACGCTCTGCCTAAAAGGATTGTCGAGTGAATTTGGCAAGTCGAGTCCAAGCCGCAGGTACCTTGGAAAGGACCTACGCAAGGCTGAGGAGCTCGTGCACGCCATTGAAGAACTGCTCCACGGACATAGGGAGCTACTGGAGCAGCAACAGGATTCTGCACGCTTGGACGTGTTGGACAAGTGGGAGGAAAAATTCCGAAACGATATTAGCTTGCTGGCTGATGTGAGCGCACTTCTGGAAGAAACGCCGGATGGAGGTGACGAGTCGCAGCAACACGATGAAAACGCCAGAACCGAAGAGGAGCACGCTTTGGAGAGCAGCTCAGGTGCGGGGCGTTTGGATTCTATGCTGGATCTCACCTCATCCGTTGGACAGTCTGGTGCAGTCTCAGTTAGTGCCAGCAGATCACAGTCAGTTGGACCAGCAGAGACCTGCAGAACTGGCAGAAGCGGCATTGGAACTGACGCTCCACTGGCCAGGACTACATCTTGTATACAAGGACGCATCTCAGCGCCTCTGCTTGGTGTCCTTTCATCAGCCTCTCACAGCCAGGAGCAGGGGGGAAGTCCTTTGCAGCCTAGTCAGCCACAGCCTATTCAAGCAGTAAGTGGTCTTCATGCACCCATGACATCTGCAGTGCAAAGTGCTTTTCAGCCACTAGGACTTGCTATATCTACACACACTGTGCCCAATGCATCTAGTGCAGCCAGTGTACAGATAGCACCCAGTGTTCCCTCATCAATGCCAGTGTTGGCATCAACAGGAACTCTGCCACGATCAGTGCAACCTCAACAGCTGCCTATGAGGGCAGCACCCCCAGTCATTGGGTTTGGATCTGCGCCACCACAGCCAATGCCGCCCATGCCAATGATGACGTCACTGCCAACGTTTGGACATGCGCCAACAGTTGTGAGTAGTACGATGCACCAAGCCAATCAGCCGCCCAGGATTTCCACCATGCCCATGGTCTCAGGGCATTCAACCCTGAACGTATATGCACCGCAGTACGTGCCGAAGACCAGCAGCACCGTGCCTCCGCAAAATTATCAATTGGCGCATTCTGGCTACATGCCACAACAACCGTTCGTGAAGCCTCTAAAACTGCCGACGTTCAGTGGCAAGGCGCATGATTATCACCGTGGGAGGAATTCCTTCCTCCAATACATGGATCCACGCCTGCCAGACGAATACAAGATGGCCCGACTGAGGGAGGCCATTGAGCACAGCACAGCCAAGGATCTTGTCGTGGACCTTCTTGACGGGCCAGGCACTTACTCCATTGCCTGGAGTGAGTTGGAGTCCTGGTTTGGAGGAGTAGACAGGCATCTAGAGCAGCAGATACGAGAGGTCATGACGCAGGCAAGAATTGCCAACGAGCGAGATCTGGAAGGCCTGCAAAAGTATGCCGTCAAGCTCCGCAGCACGATTGCTAACATTCGCACCAGTGGCAGCACGCCGAGTCAAGAGCTGTGCATAATTGCGACGGAAAAGATTCCCAAGTCCATGCTGATCAAGTTCTTCGATAAGCATGGAACTGGCAGCACTGACATCGATGCGTTCGCCACGTGGCTGTTAAGTTACGTCAAGAACTTGAAGCATGCCACGGACCGGCTTGGGTTGCTCGAGAAGCAGGAGACGCGATCCCAGAGCACTTCGCAACCTAAACCGAAGATGAAGCATCAGACATTGGCAGCGGCCAGTGTCCGCCGGCAGGACAAAAAGTCGGCAGCCACCAAATCTCCAGCACGGCAACAAAAGTGCCGAAAGTGTAACGGGCCGCATCAGTTGCGTCACTGCAACGAATTCAAGGCGCTAGGTGTCAACAAGCGCAATGAGTTGGCTAGGCTGCTGAATCTATGTTTGAACTGCCTGGGTGATGGCCATTGGGCGCGAGAGTGTGAGTCAGCTGCCTGCACGGAATGTAGTGGCAAGCATCACTTGTTGCTCCACACCGAGCGCAAGCCTGCTTCTGACAAGGCGGAGAGGGCGCCACAATCCACAGAAGAGACCACACATCATGGAAC